TATTTCTACTTTTTTTTTTCCTTTTTTAAGAAAATTAAGTTAATAATAATAAAAAAACCTAATGTCTAATTATTTTTAAATACAAATTAATTAATAAAAAACCTAAGTCTAAATATTTTTAAATAAAAATGAGTTTTTTTGATTTTTTTATAGTCTCGTTAAAAAAGTAATTAAATTAATTAAGCAAAAGCAAAAAATAATAAAAACAAGAAAATTGAAAAGTTAATGGGACCCTCTCCCTTAATTCAAGGACTACGAATCCGATGGTGGGATTCTTTTCTCTTGAATGTGCCTGTAAAGAGAGATCTGAAGCAAATGTATTTTTATGTCTTAAAAATGGCATATAGAGATTTATGCATCAAAGCTTGCATGTGATACGTCAAACTCGTCCTAAATCATATCCTGAATACATTTGAGCTCATCAAATACATTAGTAATACATGGAATTTAAGATTTAATTCAAAGAGAGGAAAAAAACGCAAACTGGTGGAGTTTGAAGCACGAGTTCCAGGAACCAAATCTTATGGTTCTTGGGTTGGATGTGTTCCTGGGGACTTCAGGAAGAGGTTTGGACACTTCGTTTGGCTTGAGAGTGGTTGGATCGTGTGATATGAATTTGCATTTTTCTTGAGATTTTTGAGAGATTTTTGAAGTGGTTCTTGAGGCAGCAGATTTTTGTGTCCTTTAAACTTGATTATTGCATGTATTTATAGAGGAATGAAATGGAATAAGAATAAGATAAGAATCTTGTACCATCATGTCACAATTCATTACAAAAAACACATTGAAATCTTTCAAAATTGTTAAAAAAACATTCCAAACTTGAAGATTCTTGTTCCTAACATGTTTTCACGGTTTTGGCATATTTTTCATGTGTTCTTGGACCTCTTGGTGATTGAAATCAAAAGCCCATGCGCCTTGGCCCAATGATTTTATATTTTATTTGATTTACTTGCATTTAAATGAATAGAAATTCAAATAAAAGAAATAAAAATCATAAAAAATATATGAATGGATTTAGAAGTCTTCAAACACATTATGAACATGGTTGAACATCAAAAGTTAGGCCCATTAGTCTAGAATTTCAAGTTTGGTCACTTTGCATTTCATGCATTTTACCAAAATTTCCCAAATTGCAATGGTCATAACTCTCTAAATTTTCATCTTTTGAAGATGATCTTGGATTTATTGAAAAGCTCTAGATGTCTTCTTCAATTTCTCTTTTGATCATTTTTGCATTTGGAGACTTTGTCTTGATATAAGTTGCCTTGACAAAAAAATGTCTTTTTTCTTACTTTTGAAATGACCTATAATGTATGGGCTCATATCTCTCAAATTTAGCACTTTTATATTTGATCATAAAGATACAAAGTTGTAGAGAATTGAATTTCCTTCAAAATGGTCTTTGGTTGGGGAAAAGTTGATGAAGCATGTGAAAGTTATCCTTGGTTAAAATTCAAATGACTTCTCCTAAGGAGACCCTAATTTAACAACTTTTGACTTTTGAAGATTTGAGGGCTTTCCTTGAGGAATCATGATCAAACCTTGATCAAAGGATGAATATCACTTCAAAATGTTAATGTTGACCAAAAATCTTGAAATTTGACTGTATGTTGATCATAGTTGACTTTTTACCCAATATAGTTGATTTTCAATCATCTGAGCTATTGACTGAGCAAACATGTGATGCAAGGCTTGAAACTTGACATGAACATTTTTAAGACCTATGGAGAACCATGGAAACCACTTGAGACCTTTGCAACCCAAAATTCCTTGAAAAACACAAAATCCTATTTATGGACCCATTGCTTAGGAGGAGAATTTGACTTGTCAACCCTTGAATAACCTTGATTACTTGAGAGCCTTAGAAGAATGTTTTGAAGAAAATGAGAGGGAAAATTTTGGGGTGTAACAGGGATTTGTAGAAATAATTTGGGTGATACATAGTAATTAAGGTAATAGTGCCATAGTCTATACGGTGCAATAACAGAAATAACAATATTGACTGTTGGTCCCCGGCAACGGCGTCAAAAACTTGATGCGTCCGCAAGTGCACAGAAATGTCAAAGTAATATAAAATATTATCGAACCCAGAGACTAATATCAACCTACTGTAATCAATCGTCGCTTTATAAAGCTAAGGCTAATGAATAATTGATTTACGGGAAACTAAGAACTAAAACTGAAATAAAATACGATTATGGAAATATATAAGAAAAGAGAGATCAGAATGTGTATTCTGCGTACCTCAGGGACTCTAACTTTTTGGCTTATACTGATGTTAAAAATGTGTTTAGTAGAAAATATCAATTTAAAGATTGAACCTCACACTCTCGTGGTTTTGAATAAAGCCGCACTCCTTAACCATGAGATTTTTCTCTCGCTCGCCCATTTTAATTATGGAATGTGTTTTGAAAATTGAACAAGTTCTAATTAATCCTAAAGGACTCTCGCTTGAAACAACCGGCTGGAAATCATCAAACAATAAAGTCGCCATTGAACTTCTTTTATCCCACATGGAGGGAAAGGTAAACATCTAGAAAACCTGAGAAGGGAGAAGTCACGGTCTTGCGACCGAGAGATCGGGTAAGGGAGTATGTTACGCGAGGGGAAGGTATTAACACCCCACACGCCCGTAGTACTCTATGGTATCTACTCTTGTTATCTATCTTATGTGTGTATTTAATCTATGATTACTGTTTATTATTGAGAAAGAATTCATGCAAAAGAAAAGAGAAAATAATGTAGGGAAAATAAAAGTTGTACTCGCTTGGGCTCTACCCCAATGCCTACGTATCCTTTTTGAGGAATCAGAGCTACCGTAGTTCGGCTCACATGTTTTTATTTGTTTTGTGTTTTTTATGGACAATGTTAATTCCGCCTTCTGTCGCAGCTCGGCCTTCAGAGACTTATGTGTTGGCACAGAAGTAAATTAATCATGTCCTTACCTGAAAAGGGTTTTAGAGAAGAGGTGTTTGGGTGCACAAAAAGGTTTGAGTTGGTTTGTATTTTTTTACCTTGAAAAAGGGTTTAAGTGTGATTAGCATGTTTTATGATTTGTTAAAAAGAAGGTTTTAGTTTTAGAATGCATTTGCAAAAGGGGAAGAAAAGAGTATACGGGGGACTAGCCTACTCCTAACCTAATGTAGCATACAATGGTGGTCCTAAGATTTGGATTAACAAAAGGGAAACGTCTACCTAATGTTAGCATGCATGATTTGTAACCTAAGGTCTAACTCGCATCCAAACGGAGCAAGCACACCTTAAGGAAACATGGTATGTATAAGGATAAATCAAACAAGCTAATAAGCTCAATATAGCACACCTAGATAGATCCTATCTAGGTTAGCATTCCAAATAATGTCTAACAAAACTATCCTATAGGGAACATGCAATGAGAGCGAAGTCGTGATCTCAATTTCTAAATTGAGTGACTCATCGATCAACAAGAAATAAAGGAAAGAGATAAAATCCTATAGGAAGCATGCACTGAGAGTGAAGTGGTGATCTCAATTCCTAAATTGAGTGACTCATCGATCAACAACTAAAGAAACAAATACAAGCACAACACATATAGCAAATGAAGTGCGGAATGTCTGCTACAGGTCTTTAAACAACGACTTCGAGTGCATGCTCTTTATTTCCTACTTCTCATGGTATCTAGAAAGCAATAAACTCCTAATTCTTATGATATCTAGAAAAGCAGTAAATAAATGTAGTAAAGTGCGAAGAAGTACGAAGGTAGTAGCGGTGACTACCAAAGCGAGCAAATCGTCAAGAGAAGACGAAAACACTGGAGAAGCAAGGAGTGCACGTCGAGCAAGCTTTACCAAGAAACAAGCGAAGTCATAATCGATATCCAACTAAGATAAAACCAAATGTGTGTTGTGAATGTAACGCGTAATCAGAAGTTAATATGCAAAGTATCATAAAGTATAGTATGTATCAGGATAACATATAATAGGATAATTTTATCAAGATGATGAGAAATAAGGAGTGTCGCATCAGAAGCGAGCATAAGCCGGATGCTTCGATCACATAACTATCTATTATGTTACATGATCGAAAGCACAAAAATGTACCTTGCACAATGAACAAACGCGTCAAAATATAACATGGCAAAGCGGCACAAATATGCGGATAAAAACAAGAAAGAAAAAGTTATTTCTATTATTAGTTTTTTTTATGTAAGGAAAGTTATAAAAAAATTAAAAATTAATTCCTAACGAAAACCATTATATTATTCTACCATTTTTTATTGCTTTTATTATATTTTTATTATGTATTTTATTGGAAAAAATTAACAAAAAAGTCCTAATTCTAATGAAGAATTAGTGAACTCAGGGGTGCTGATTTGAGTCCAGGGAGTATGATAGAAGCCAGGGCGTTAGGCCCAACAAGTTGGGCGCTGGCCTATTAAAATGAGACCCATTAACAGTTTGTTTGAAGTTACCAAAAACTACCCTTTGGGCCACAACAAAGGGGATCCGGTCCACCCACTTCAACCTGGCCAATCCAATTTAGCCCCTTTTTTATTCTCCAAAAATTGATTCACTTATCAGCTATATCAATTTTCTAATTAAAATAAATTAAATTAAATTAAAGAAATTTTTTTAAGGAATGAAACGGCATCGTTCCAACTGGTTAGGGTTAAAGGTGTTATGTCTCTTCAGGTTCCACAAACTTCTTCTTCTCTCTCGTGATTTTTGACGAGTCAAAGCCGCCGTTACCACCACCATACTTCACTAACCACTATCTCATAATCATAAACCCCGTCTAATTTCATGCTCCAATTAAGAATCTGGCGTTAGATTTTGCAAAAGATCTACTATGTTGAGGAATCAAAAAATCCGAACGAAAACCCTAAATGTTGCAAATCTTAATAATCAAGCGCCAATTCGTAAAATTGAAGAAGATAGGGCTCTAATTGGATGAAGGTCCATAGATAGAAGTTCACAAATGCATGAAAAGAACCTGTTTAAGAGATCTTAATTTCTGATATGGTAGTTGATATTCCCGACCATCATGAAAAGCAGGTAACAGCCTCACTTTATCTCCTGGTTTCTCTTTTCGGTATTGTACTCCTTCTTCTTCTACTTCTGAACTTTCATGTATCCCTCGAATGCATAATTATCGCCAAAATCATTGTTGTTGCGTTGCTTTCCTTGCAGATGAAGGTGACGAAAATTGACGCAGAAAGATGAGGATGTGCGTTGAAGCAAGAAGAGAAGGATAAAGGTTGTGAAAATGTGAAGATTGAATTGATGAAGTTGCAGAGAATGCAGAATGGCCGCTCTTGTTTTCTTTGCTGCAGATTCAGGTTATAGAATATTAATGATGATGATGATGAAGATTATCATTGGAGTGTGATCATGATTGAAGCTTTGTAGAAAGATGAAGATAAAGTAGAGAAAAGAGAAAGCTTCGAGAGTTTTTTCTGGTGAGTTTCCTATTTTTCTGTTATTCCTTTTCTATCAATCGTGCCTCCTCTTCCCTTTCATATTATATTTATGTTATATGCTTCTGTTTGAAGTTTTTTTTGGTAGTTAGAGGATTTAGTTAGTTACAGGGTTGTTTAGAAGTTGGTTAGAAAATAGTTAAAAGGATAGAAATTTGTTTTTGATCTGTTTAAAACTGATAAAAGTTAGTTATGATAGTTAGGAGATAGGAAATTTTGTTGAGAGTTTGTTGAAAATAGTTAGAGGTTAGAGAGTTTAGAAATTGGTTGTTGGATTTCTGTTATGAACCGGTTAGAAAAAATTGAGTTAGTTATTCTGGTTAGGATGTTGGTTGGAGATTGAAATCGGTTAGGACTTGTTAGAATGGATTTTTTCTTTGACAAATTTTCAATAACATAATACAGAGAATGGTTTATAATATTAATTAGTGGATTCTTTTCTGTTTTTTTATGTGCAGGTTTTATGTTATGTGCAGCGGGATTGGTTTATTGGTTGTTGTGAATTCGACCTAGCTCAACGTCCCATGGTGCAAAGTTGCAAGGAAATGGTTTTGGAGTATGAGGCATGAGACAAGAAATTGGAGACGGAAATATAGTATGGAGGATAATTGTTAAGGCAAGAAGCTTGATTTATAGACAAGAGGGTAATGAGTTATGAAGGTCATTGAAGATGAAGAACTTGGATTATGTTTAGTTTAGGATTAGGTTTATTTTGATGTGATTTTGCAGCTTTGATGTAAATGGTTCTTGAATTGTTATTGAATCATGTATATGCTTTTGACAAATTCAAATTCGATGTGGTTTTATGGTGCAAGGCTGGAGTTAACAATCTGAACTGGTTGTTTGTGGTGATGTTGCTCCCTTTTACGACGGTTAACTCTGGGAAGTTAAGTGCGACTACAACTTGCTTCAGAATGGTAGTAGAGAAGGGAAAGCGGCAGCGACAGCTGCCTGCATTTTGTGTTTTGTTTTTATTCCATGATGAATTGGTGAATGGGTGGATTGATGGGCTGTTTTGGAATGAGATGAAACAAGGCATCAATTTCCTTACGATGCAATTGAAATTTGTACTTTTTGTAACGTTTCTTTGAAATGCCAGATTTTGAATGGTTTTTATGTGAAGAAATTGGAACTTGAATAGACTTGATCTTGAATATTTGAAATTTGGATTTGAACCTTGCTTTCTTGAATTATGCCTTGCAACTTGAAAATTAGTCTTAGGATGCAATTGAAAGCTTGAATAACCTTATATGCCTTGAATGCAATATTAATTTGGAAATTCCAAATCTTCAATCTCCTATCCGAAATCAAGTCTTCTTCAAATAGAACTAAGAGCTCCCCAATTGTTCTCTTCATTTGCAACTTGAATGAAACACATGATACCAAACCCTTTTTATGGATAATTCACGAGATAAACTCCAAGATGACTAAAGAAACACTTTAATTTGAAATTCAAAATCTTGCTCAAGAATGAAAATTATGTGCTTTCTTCTTCAAAGTGACTTGAATTCTAAGGAATCCACGTGGATGGACTTTCCAAACTTAATACATTTTGCTCTTAAAATATTGGTCCAATTTAACGAATTTGAACCACTTGAGCTCATGACTTCAAATAATCCCTTGAACGAATACTTTCACCATAATGAATCTAATACTAATTCAATTCACTCAATACCCATCAAACTTGTATAACAAGAAATAAGAGAACCAATGATGCCTTAATCTCAGTGAATTCATAACATCATCCTTGTATCACGTCTTTACTTGATGATCAACAAAATTTTAGTGCTTTGAATCCTTAAGAATGAATGATAAGGCTTGAAGCATAGAATAACTCATGGATATCTAATGATCCTCAACTGAACAAAACTCAAGCATGGGTATAGGTAAAACCTAATTCTCTGGCTTCAGATACTCAATGAGGAGAAAGATAGCTTAAGCCAAAATCCTGGTTCAAAACAAACTCAACTGCAACCTTGATGAGACACTAAGTACCATAACTAAAAACCCTAATGCACTTTGCTCCAGGTGAATATTTGATGATGAAAGAAATCCACAAATCCTGAACTACAAATCCATAATCCACAACTTGAAGAGGGACCAAAAGAACCAAACTTTATTAAATATATACCTCAAAACATTGTGAAACCCTAATATCGCACAACCATTGAACATTGAACCTCAAGCGCTTTATTGAATGAAACGTATGCAATGTTAGTGACCTGGTGGAGGTTATGCATATGATGATGCATATGCCAGATGATCCTTGTTAAAGGGTAGGACAAATTTTGGGTATTACATCGATGTGTTTAGAATTAATGCCTAGTTTCTACTATCTAGTTCGACCCCCACGCTCTCGCAGTGTCGGCTCGAACCTTAGTTAATTTCCCACTCTCGTGGAAAAATCGTGTTAATTAACCTCTCACTCTCGTAACAAATCTATTTAAATTAAGTTTAAAAACAAAGACCAAAAAACTAAATTTTCAAAAGATATTAAGCCAACTTATTACCGAGTCCCGTCGGGAACGACAATCCTCACATACCGGACTCAAGCAAAATTAGCTAAACATGAAATTAAACATAAGCATGCTATTACAATAATTAAACATAAGATAAAACATGATTTAAAATGTAATTAATTTAAACTAAGACGAAATCATAAACAGTTAGAATAACCAATTAAAATGGAACCTGGAAATAAAATGAAAAATGGAATTACTGTTGAAATCATCTTTGCGTATAATAACATAACCTGGAATTTGGAATATGTCGGCACCCTTGACAATCAGGTACAAGATTGAAATAAAAAAATAGTTCCTAAAACTAGAGTTGTGATAGCTCTCCCACACCAGAAGAGCTATCACTTTACATGTAAATTTATTGCCTAAGTTCTAAGAATGATACTCTGATTCCAAAACTGAACGAACCCCCTTCATTGTAGAACTGCCCTGCTTTTATATACCTCTTTTCGTGACCTCAATGTCCATGACGTGCATGGATAGAAATCTGAAAAATAGCTTCGTGGAGAAATGTTCGGGGGACCGGGCTTCATGAGATATTGACATTGGAGAAGGCCACGAGGATTGAATACATGGCTAACATAAATGACTTGTAGCGAGGTCCACACATGCTATGGCAAGGGCCACGCTAGTTGGTCATGTGCGGCGAGGGCCACACATGATGTGGCGAAGGTCACGCTAGTTGTTCATGTGTGGCAAGGGCCACACATGCTGTGGCGAGGGCCACATATGCTGTGGCGTGGGCCACAGGCCAAAAATAGATTTGTATTCTTTTTTACTTTATTCTTCTCATTTCTTGCCAGTTTCTTGTTCGTTTGGGCATGGAAGCTTGCTGTTAAAAATTACATGAAATGAAATAGAAATACCGACATAAAATGACATAAATAAATGAAAATGCGTAAGAATCAAGTCGAATATATCATTTATTTTTGTGTTATCAATGACCTGTTGAATTTAATCGAAGAGAAAAGGATGATGGACTTGTGTCATGGCCAGTTATATTAAAAGAGAAAGAAGCAAGTGTTCGATAAAAGGGCTCGACCTAATGAGTTATGAGAAGGAGACCCTGTGCTTAAAAGGATCTTGTTTTTTCAACCTTATTTTAGGGGCAAGTGGGCTCCTAATTTTAAAGGTCCATATGTGGTTAAAACAACCTTCTTTGGTGGTGCAATGACTCTTATGAATATGGATGGTGAGGAACTCCCACGCCATTTGAATGTCGATACAGTCAAGGAATACTTTGTGTAAAAGAATAAAATAACAACTCAAGTTGAAAACCCAAAAGGGCGACTTAGGAAAAAATTAGTGACTCGGTGGACTAAAAACTCGAAAGAGTGGTCCGGGTAAAAATTAGAGACATAAACAGAAAAATAATTCATTCCAGTAGATTGAAACCCTGAAATGGAAATCTAGGCTAAAGTTAGGGATCTTTATGACAAGTAACTGCACCAGGCCATGCTAGATCTTATTTGAAGCAATTACAAAGGCTCTTCATCAAATCATTTGCAACAAAGCTTGAACACAGTTGGAATTCAAAGTTGATAGGGAGAATAAGATTGTGCATTTCACTGTAACATTTCCCATATGATTACCATTTTTTATCTTTGTAAAGATCCATGGAGTTATGCCATTTGCGAACTACCATCATGTTGAATGAAATTTGAGCTTTGTCCATTTGTTTGCCACTCTTATCTTATTTCAACTTTGAAAAATCCCTTTTATTTTTTATGATAATTTTGAAATAAAATGTTAATAAAATGTGTTTTAAATATATAGCAACAAAAGTGTTTTCCTATGAATAATGAACCTAAAGGGAATGTCAAAGGTTATCCCAGAACATGATTAGGTCCTGAAATACGAAACTAAGAAAGAAGAGTACTTGTGTAAACTTTTGGATGGCAGTTATTTCCAAAATAGATCTTTTGAGAAGGTTATTATCTCTCTTATTTGAATTATTGATGTCTAAAGAGTGGACTTTGGGTTTCTTCCCGAGAAGTATCCTCCTCTCCCAGAGAGATTCGATCCTTGTAGATGGACTTTGTTCCGTCAACAGCCTTTGTTTTACCCCCTGTAATAATTAAATCTCCTTGAGATTTATCAAGTGCTTAGTTGTAACCTGTTTGAGTGTTTTATCATCCTAGTGCTATCATTTTTTGAGTTATTGGTATGTTCTGTCAGCATATACATGACATTCATTCATTCATTTCATTCATTCATACTTACATCATTCATACACATCTAGCATTACTCTATGTTCTTGAGTCTACTTACTTTGGTTATGTTTATCCCCTAATAGTGTACTTTCTTTCGCAAATGATGTCTTTACTCCCTAGAGTGTCAGTTATAGGAAGAAAAAGTGTATGTTCCTTTTGATTCCCCATCGAGTTTGTTCCTCGTGGGAAGGCTTTTCTCTAACTTTCCTTTTCATCTCAGGATAGGATAAATCCCCAGTTGAGTTTATTCCTCATCAGTTTAGGTCTTGATTGACCATCTCTCTCCAACTTATTTAGGGATTTAACCTTGTCTCTGACAAATATATTTGTTTAAACCTCTCTAGGCAGGAAACCCTAGATCGAGAGTGCATTTATGAAGACTTTACCTCCTCAGCAAAAATATGTTACCAGTTTTGCACTCTCACATGACTTTCTCTTTATTTAAGAAAATTATTCTGCAAGATTGTCGACCCGCATTTCTTTCAAAAATCCTCAGTGAAGTTATTAATTATCAGCAGGAGGTTTATTATCCTTTTCAAGTAGAAGACTTGATCAATGAAGATTGTTCTTGTACCTTCAATAGAAGTTGGTATTCAGATGAAGATTGTTCATGTACCTTCAATACAAGTTGGTATTCAAAAGGAGATTGTTCATGTACCTTTAATAGAAGTTGGTATTCAAAAGGAGATTGCTCTTGTACCTATAATAGAAGTTAGTATTTAGATGAATATTTCTCGTGTACCTTCAATATAAGTTGGTATTCACAAGAAGTTTAGTCATGTACCTTCAATAGTAGTTGGTATTCAGATGAAGATTGTTCCTGTACCGTCAATAAAAGTTAGTATTCAGATGAAGACTGTTCTTGTACCTTCAATAGAAGTTAGTATTCAGATAAATATTGTTCTTGTACCTTCAATAGAAGTTGGTATTCAGATGAATATTTTTCCTGTACCTTCAATAAAAGTTGGTATTAAGATGAAGATTGTTCTTGTACCTTCAATAGAAGTTGGTATTCAGAAGAAGTTTGTTCATTTACCTTCAATAGAAGTTGGTATTCAGAAGAAGTTTATTCATGTACCTTCAATAGAAGTTCATATCCAGATGAAGTTCATTCCTGGTATCTAGTAAAGTTTTATTTTGTCTCTCTATATTCAGTAAAAGTTGGTAGTTTACCGTCAGTAAAAGTCTGTATGTCTTTTATTCCTCTGCCTTCAGTAAAAGTTGGTGGTTTACTATCAGTAAAAGTCGGTATGTCTTTCATTCCTCAACCATCATTAAAAGTTGATAGTTTACCATCAGTAAAAGTTGGTGTTTCCTTTACCTTTAGAACAAGTTGGTATTTTAACCATATATATGATG